GATTAAAGACCAATAATGAACCAACTTAATACAGTTATTGTATTTGCCTAAAAGCTCCAAGTAGTCTTTTATAAACCAGGCAGTCAGAGACTAATGACCCATGTTCATAAGATAAGGCAGAAATAAACTGTTCAAAAATCAGAAGAAAACTGGACTACAGGGTAAATTTTTCAGGAACAGCAAAGTGACTTAGGAATCTAAATCCCATTTATACTCAGTGGAATTTAGACTCCTAAGTCCTTTAGGCGTTTGAAATTTTCACTCTAAATTTGTAATGCTTTTGAAATCCCAGAAGAATTTATGGCAATCCATGTTAATTAGTTTCACAGACTTAGCACTTGTACGCATATTCAAATAGAGTTCTACTTGCTTCACTAACACACAGTTTCAAAAGGTTTAATCATACCCACATGGTCTGGGACTGAACATCTTCCAGATAATCAGACTCTATAACTCCTTCCTTGCTTCACTAGTTAGACAAGGTATGGATCCAACTCACAAGTCATAAGGTAACATTCACCCAGGAACCCTGAAACCTCAGTGAACAAACTTCCTAAAATTTCACAAAAGCTAATGTTGAGTTTGTCCCTGTAAGGCACAGTTTCACTCTCTAAAACAGTGAGCAATTTTGTTCAAATGTATTTAATCTTGTTCTTGAAGTATGGGGGAAAATCCTCCGAGATATCCGATTATATTTCTGATCCAAGGAAACCAGGATCTAACAGTCTGTCAGTGACTTGGAACAATACCACAAAACATGAATCTCTGTACAAAAAATATGTGAAGGAGGATTAGCAGAGGAGAACACTTTTTTATCCTGCAGCACCAGAAGTTAGAGTTATGAATTTTCAAAGGGAATAAGCCTGACTAGCCCAACACACTCCTCTATCATGCTGCTGGGTTTCCTTTGCTGTTTCATGACAGTGTTGTTTTTGGTTTTGATGTTTGCTATTACTATATTATGATACTCTACACAAATCCCAGACAAGGATAGGCCTTTCTGGGCTTTTCACTGATAAACATTAAGTCTATAAAGTATTGTAGAGCATTGGCTCATGTAATGCTGCAAGGAGGAAAAATGGAAATTTGATACAATCTTAATTTTTAAAAATGGCAGGAATGGCTCTCACAAGATGTTACTTCTATTTGGCACATCATTCATTGCCCAGCAAGAGAAGAAGCAGATGAAGCACCAAATGTAAACAATGGTTTCACTAAAAGGTGTAGAAAAAACAACAATTACTGCCACTGTATCCTCATGTGAATGGTTACAGTGAAAGGCAGGCCTGGGTTTTTAGTCTCTCACCTTTAAAGTCCTGGCAGTAGCCAGTGTAGAATGTCTCCCTGCGCAGGATAATCTCTTGCGCAATGATTCCATAGCTGTACACATCACCTTTCTGAGACACATCAGCTTTGCGGAGGTGTTCAGGAGCTGTCCACAGATCTGAGCAGCCAAATGATGAAGACACCGAGAGAGGGAGTATGACAAGAAACAGATTGCGTGACCTTCTTTGGAACCACATCTGCCCCAATAGTATCCTGGTTTTCCCTTTTACTCTTTCATCTCTCAGCCCCACCTTGACATTTTTTTGTTATTTCTTTAGCTGTTATCCAGAAGGGCTGACTTCAATACACCTCTTTTTACTTCTAAAAGAGGTGCTCTACTTCAGGCACAGGTTTGGGGGCTAGATACAGAGTGACATTGTGTGGTCTGTTTTATGTATGAGGTCATTATAACTGTCCTTGCTGGCCTTCAAATCTATGAAACTATAAAAATAATCCCCAAATGTTTTGAAGTTGACATAATAGCATTTTGTTATACACTCTAACAATAATCCATATGTGTCTCTTGCAAACTGATCACCATTGTATCTAGACCTAGTGATGTTGTGAACTTGTGGTACCTTGTCACAGCGCACTGAGGTGTGCCATGACAAGGTACCACATTGTAAAGGAGAATCATAACATGCAGCAACATCGGAGTCAGAATGCAATCATCATAAACACGCAGGCACAGGACTAGAAGGGACTTTCTAGGTCATTGAATCCAGTCCCCTGCTATCACAATTACAATATGTAATCCAGTAATCCACCTTCACAAGTTTATTGCTCTTGAGATGCACTAGCTTTGCCTCTAAGAATGAAGTCCAAAGCCCAACAATTCTCAGTCTGCTTCAACAGCATTTACTCTTGAGCAACTAAAGAAGATAAATGTACTACTAATATAAAAATTAAAATGAATAGAAATAAGACATATGTAGAATAAGGAAACCCTAAGAGGAATGAGTAAAATCTTTACCCTTTCAATACCCTTTTCCTAGCCATTTATTTTCCATTGCTATTACTGGAGATGTTTGTGTCTGAACATAAGAATTTTCTCTCCCCATTCTAGCCCCATGTTTTCCTCAACATACGTATCTCAGGGATGACACTGTGCTGTGTTTATGCCATCTCAGTGGCTTACTATATGAATGATTCAGATATCTCAACTTCACTCCAAGTTCAATTTGGAGGAGAAAGATAGATGAGGAGAGAGGAATGCTTATTTATACCAAATTTTTTCTTGGGCATTGGCAGACACAGGGGGGAAAACAATTATCATAATCTGATTAATGCTAGGAGAACAAAAAATGCTGCAATTCTACTTAAGGACTAGAATGGCTATGGATAGTTCTTGCTAGAAAATTTTTAAGGAATGTGAAGCGTCATGTATTAATGTTTAAATTATATCATGGCAAATGGCAGGATAGGATACTATGAAAATTCATGCAGTCACACCACTTAGGATCAATGATAATATCATAATGTACCTATACTCCTCTCTCTCTCTCCTACAGGAGAGAGTGAAAGCCTCTTATTTACAGCTCCTGTCATCTGAACAACCTTCCTGCAGTTCACCCTCCTTTAGACTCTTTCTGTTTTTTCAAATATCAGTTTAAAACACACTTTTCTTTCCTCTCTTGCTTATATTACTTAATTCCTTTCTCTGTCTACTATTACTTGTCTTTGTGATTATTATTTAGCTTAGTGTAGTGTTTTCAAACACATTTTGTATGGAAGTTACTATACAAAATAAAGTTATACTGAATGTCATGCATTGACTTCTCTGTACTCCACATACCTTATGCATAATAGATCACAGGATATCATGTGGCTTTTCAGAGTAAACATTAACAAGGCTCAGCAGACTAAAAAATGTAACTTTCTATAACATTACTATACTAGAGATCCAATTAATTTGTATAGAAGAATTCTGTGGCTAGGAGGACACAAGAAGAGGTGTCATTTTTAATACTAGTTTTGCATACCTTTTTTTGGAGGCAGAATGGAATTGCAGCCAAAATCAGTGATCTTTACCACCATGCGGCTGTCTACTACACAGTTGGTTGACTTAAGACGGCCATGAACCTCTGTTTTGCTTGAATGCAGATAGGACATTCCCTGTTATTGATGAGCAAAAGGGGTGAGAGGAGGGAAAGAAGAAAACTGTAATGACTGCTGCTAGAATTAGTAGGAATTTGAAAGTTCAACACAAGATCCAGTTATTTAAGTCTTTCGAAAGCCTTCATTAGCATAGTCTCTCCACACATCAAAATGATCAGTCTATTTTACCCTCACAATTCCAGTCCAGGAGTAATAATAATAATTCCAGGAGTATTATTCCAGGAGTATTATTTATCATCATCATCATCATCATCATTATTATTATTATTATTAGAATAATTCCAAGAGTATTATTTTCCAAAGTCCTACTAACTGTCAGTTGGAACTTGGCAACCAAACTAGGGCTCTAAAATTCCAGCACAGTTCCAGCTTCTTTAGAGTTAATCAAAGGATTGTTTTTCCTCTGGATTAACTCTCTATGATGCTGCCATGTGCTTCTTGGTAGTTTCCCACCAATGATTAGGAGAGTTTAGAAACTTGTTTCCATTCAGGGAAGTTTATTTCATTTGCAATTTACAACCACTGTTTTTATGATGTTTTTAGTGAAGTGACAGTTTGTATGAATATTTCACAACCTTGAAAAATACATCCCATATGTTTATTTATTTATTTATTTAGAATGCATGAGGTTGCCTTTGCTAAAGGAAAAATCTATCTGGGAAATCTGTATCCTTTTTGCAGACATCCACTCGCTAGAATGCCCCACAGTCAAAAACACCTAAGCAGGTCTGTTTCTGCACAGAAAAGAGCAGGCAAATGTCAATACTAAGATTACTGGCTGCCATTCTATCACCTTCATTATGCAGGAGGCCAGTTTACATGATGAAAAGATGGCCTTTCTGACCTTGATATTTATGAATCTCTCTATGCTAGTCAATGCTTTGTACCTGAAGGTCCAGCTCCCTTGCCATGCAGGCTATGTTCAGAGCCAGTTGAACTGTTTTATACTTGGGCTCTCTCCGCTCACTATGTTCCACACACAAAGCCTATAATTTGCACTCTCCTACTCATCACTTCTGAATCTGGCCCACTTAGCCTGAAACAAGTCAAATAAGTCATAACTTTTATGTCAAACAGCCAGAAGAAAGTAGTGTAACAGGAAAAGCAGCTACTAGGTAGCAAAAGTTAAAACAGTGGGTGGAGGACTTTAACTTATACCTATTTACATACTCCTCTCAGTTGTTTATGCTGCTGCACCTCTCTCTTCTGGTATCTTGGTATGCAAAGTGCTGAAAACATGTACACTGAAGAGGCCAGAAGAAAGGGTACATTATACCAGTTTAGATTCCCCGCTGAATGTGGCCCCTTTTCCCTAAGCACACACATTCAAATGTCATCCTCTCAAGGGCCAGATGATAATTAAACGTTACGGTGGATTACACAGGTTGTATGATTATGATCACTGCATGTAATATGTTGTCTTTTGTGGAGAAACCTGCCAGGAACAGTGTGAGAGCACTAAGATAAGTTGGGTTTGAGGCAGAGCAGAGGTAGGGTTGAACCCCAAGGACTTTCTGAGGGACTTAAGCATCCCCAGAAAATGGTTGGATCTGGTTACATGTATGTGTATGTACCATACTCAAATCTCTGGAGACTCAGCTCATACCACCCAAAGTAAAAAGCCTACTAAAACAGGCCTAGCTTGCCACCTTCAGGACCTTCTTCCTACTACTGTCCTTCTCTCATCCCCCCGCTGACACCAAACAAGGGGTGAACCCAGTAAGACAGAAACCCTCCCTCAACTCCTGGCTCCTGTAAAATGATTCTGTGGTACTCTAGTCTACTTGTGTCTGAGCCCCCTTGTCTATACCCTGAGAAGACTGAGTCTTACTGGTGCATCTAAGAAGGCTCACTCTCCCTTCAGTTATTGGGGACCCATGCTTGGAAGTGAGGAGTCTGTCAAGAGCCCTAAATGGGATTTCACAACTGCCCAAGTGAGTTAGGAATACAAGTCTCATTGACTTTTGGCTAGGTTTGTGCTCCTAAATTACTAATTCACAAAGCACATACTTCAGCTTTGACACTGAAGAAGCCCTTTCAACAAAGACATTTTTCTGATATAATACAAATATATTTCATTCACTTGTACAATTTCCTGCAGTTGCTCTCTTATTTGAGAAACATCAACCTTGCAACAGCAACGGTGCCCTCATGACCAGAAGGCTCAATTGCTGTAATTCCTTCTTTGCATGACTTGCTTGTGTCACACACAGCCGGTTCTACGCTGCTCCAGGTGGCACCCACCAGACTTATCATAAGAAAGCAAGAACAGTGGGAAGCAGATGGTTCTGGCTCAGAGAGCCCTCTAGGCCTGCCTTGCCTCCTTCTTTTGAGCAGCAGTCAGGGGTACTGAAGTTGGGGTGCACAGGATCTAGAGACAGACAGTAGGATTACAGGAAATGAGTGCTGGGTTACTGAACTGCAAGGAGAAGGAATTGGGTCTGAGGAGTGTTGGGGACTAAGAGTTGATTATTGGGGTACAGGGGAATGGGAGGTGGAAGGCAGGGAACTTAGAGGTAAATACTGAGCAGGAGCTCTTCAGATATAAGGAAGGGACTGTAGTGGAGGTACTTGACAGATAGTAATGATAGAAGTTTGTATAGTACTCACTAAGTCATGCAGCCTCCTTATGCCAAGTTCCAATAATTACAAATCACTATATATTCTTGAGTTTAGAACACTCTTCATAAAAAGCTTGTCTGAATCATCTCTGTTAATATGGTTAAAATAATCTGAGGTGCTATTTCACAGAAAGGGTCCTTGGAACCTTTCTTTCTGGGCTTCATGTAATGTTTACAGATGGAACAATGTCTGCCAATCATTTGTGAAATCTTTGTTCAACTCAGTGGGAATTCTGTAAGCATTTCACTTTGTTTATGTATAATCTCATTAGATTGGGTACTGTATGCAGGGCCAACCTTTAGCCAGTTGATCAGTATCTGTGAGGGAGACCTGTGAAGCTCAACTGGAAAGTGTTAAAAAAAACCTTATTAGAGCCTTTAAGAAGAAGGAGGAGGAGTTCACAACTGTTGTTTCAAATAGCACTTCATGCTGAATGTTAATTGAATGTGAAATTCTCATTAACCTGGCCACCAAACTGTAACAATTTGGATTAAGGAGATTTTAATAAAGAGTGAGATTTTCAGTATCTCATTGAAACAGACATAGAAGAATCATTCATCACAAAGACCAGGTCTGAACTGAGACATGTAGGGAA